GTAGTAGTCGCAGAAGTAAAAGTAGAAGTAGAAGTAGTAGTAGTAGTGGTAGTAGCAGTGGTAGTAGTAGTAGTAGTAGGAGTAGGAGTGGTAGTGGTGGTATAGTAGTAGTAGTAGTAGTAGTAGTAGTAGTAGTGGTAGTAGGAGGGGTAGTAGTAGTGGTGGTAATCGTAGTCGTAGTCGTAGTCGTAGTCGTAGTCGAAGTAGTAGTGGTAGTGGTAGTGGTAGTGGTAGTGGTAGTGGTAGTAGTAGTAGTAGTAGTGGTAGTGGTAGTGGTAGTGGTGGTAGTGGTGGTGGTGATAGTAGTAGCAGTTGAAAATAGTATCAGATAGTAGGAGTAGTAGCCGTCGTCGTCGTAATGGGAGCTACAGCAGTCGGAGTAGCAGCAGTAGCAGCGGCAAGTAGTCACAGTAAAGCCAAACCTCCAAAAAGGGTTGTTGCTGTACTACGTGGTAGCACGAGGTAGGGCCGTGCATGACTTTATATATGTTAAATTGAATTTGGATGACCCTGGAGGATTACGTAGCTGCCGTCCAGAACTGATGCGTTAACTCGCAGTTTTGTTTTCTGCCAAGCTGCGCATTTCTTGTCTGGCATGGTCGTGATCATGCAATACCTCATTCTACCAGGCTTTGATGGCATTAAGAACAAAGGGCAAGGATGTGACATTCAGAGTTTGCAGAAACTGCCAAAGCGGTTGATAACATAATATATCTGTATATATATATGTTTCACAGCATCTGTGATGGCAAAGTCTTGCCTGACCCGTTCAACTGCTTGCTTCGTGCAAGAAGGCGCGCGTAACCAGGAGAAGTGCTACCGTCGCGGTCTTCTGCCAAGATGCCAACTTTCCAACGATCTTCTCAACCACAAGCTTTGATGCCAGTAAACGCCTCAAAACAAAACCTTGCAGCTTTCGTCAACTGCTCAACCCCACCCTGTCTGAATCTGTCGTTTCAGTTTATATATTGAAGAAAGAACGACAAGGGATTGCTAGCGTGCACCGCGACTAACAAGTACATCGATTTCCCGTTTCTTGCGTCCTTTTCTTTGCGCTTCCTTGTCCGATGCTTCAGGTGTGCACTTGGGCACGTCAGAGTCACACGCACACAGTGTCTCTGACGTGTGTAATCATCTTGTTTTCTTTTTTGGAGTCATTACCCGAAGATTCTCTTGCAAAGTTCAAAGCTGCTGGTGGATGGAAGTGTCAAACCATTAAAGCTACAACACACACACACACATATAATCACCCATATGTACACATAATGAACATGATTTGTGGGATGAACGAGCCGTGGAGCCTGCGTTTCTAGTGATAAGCAGTCACAAGCAACCGGTTTTGCGAGGCCTTTGTGCCAAGGGCACGCGCGTGGCGCCGTGCCATTGCTGAATGGGAAACATGCTTGAGTGAATGCGGCACGTTTCTGGCGCTGGTCAGCGGGACGCTTGGTGTCAATGAGGCTTGCCCTTAGTTGCATGGCGCATATTGTGGCAATGGCGAAATTATGTTTGTGATGTCGCTGTGCCATGTCGCGGCTTGGCAAGGCCTTTTTGGAAAGTGAGTGCACGTGTGTGGCGCCCTGCCACTGGAACAAACAGGAAAACGCATTTTCCATTGTACACGCTGCGTGTCATGGGCGAGGGGGGCAACTGGTATTGTCCACGAGGTTTGCCGTTACTTTTGGTTTGTATTTGGGAAGCGGGGTGCTTCTACTGGAGGTGAAATGCTTCCTTTAGACCCGTGGTGAAGTTGAAGGATTGCAATTCTATGGTTGGTAAGGGGTTTGTTGTTACAGCGGGTGAAATCTGAGGGCGATTTTGGCAGTGAGCCTATACACAACCTTGCGCTTCACCGCATTGCTACTGACCACAATAGATTTCACAACTTCACCAAGTTGTAGTGCGCTACATAACGGATCACACATCACAGCGTTACTCTTCACCTAACAAACCACATGTTCTTTCAGCGAGCTTGCCTTCACCACGTCACAAATTCCATGCTACACTTCACATCGCTTCACCACACCACATCACCATGGTAATAAATATATGCTTCATATATATATATAATTATATGTTTCAGGAAACAGCAAGACCAAAAGCTAACTCAAGACAGCAAAAGCAGCAGCGCACCCTTTTGCAGTTTGGTTAGCTTCTCCTTCCATGGTCAAAGTTGAGTTAGAATGGTGTCAGACTGAGATGGTACCCAAAACCGCCACTGATCTCAGTCGACGTGGAATGAGCCATGGAGGAAAGCCGCCCTTTGTACCCTGAAGCACAAACGGGTCCATGGGCATCGTCAATCAACTAGTGGTGAAAACGGAGCGTAAGAGGAACAACGACTAAACCATCCTGTGCTCTCGGGGATTTCAGGGCCCATGGCGCCTGTCCCGTCACACCTACGATGGTTGAGCCGTTGGGTAAGGTGTTGAAACACCCAATTCATCAGTGTGTAGGATGAGGGTGAATCAACTCGTCCGCCCATGTATTGAAGTCCCTCTTCACATGACAAGGGCCAGTTGGCAGCCCCCTTGATGCAGAGAAAGGGCCAGTTGCATCAAAATAGCCGCCGTCGGTGTCCTCCAGGTCGATTGATTCAGCATGTATGCGGAATTGAAGCCGGTTACGCGCTTTTTCTGATCAAGAAGGAGGAGCGAGCCCAGCATCTCCAGCGAAGGGATGTTGGCCCCGGATTGGTCTTCAGGAAGGCCTATGGAAAGCGTGTCTTCTGCGTGTGAAGTTGAAACTACCAGACTTCCTCCTTCGAAATTCGAAACTGGGTCTTTGTCACTGAGCTCATCGCCCGCACTGGCATCACTGGCACCCGCCAGGGAGATGGGGGGCAGAAAGGGGTAGGTTCAGTTCAGCAGAGCTTGGCAAAAGTCCGAGCCAGTCGGTTTGGTCTGCCGCTTGACTCGACTGCTCCCTTCCATTCCCATAATGGTTGGAGCAAGGGTTTGGTCAAGGGCACGTAGATGTTGCCCATTGCAGTCTGCCCATGATGCTGTTCAAATCCCTGGGTGTGAACACGTCCTGTTTGGAAATTCTGTGGAGCATCTCCAAGACCTTGTTGTGTTTCTCCTTGGCCATTTGGACTATCGGTCCCGCTGGTTGGGTGTTGATAGGTCCCAGGAGAGTCTTCTTCCAGCTCAGGGGAGTGCCCAACACAAGTAGGGTAGCCAGGAGGGCGCATGTATAAAGTGGAGCGTCTGTTGATCGGACGAGCCAACAAAAATCATCCACGGACACAAAGGCCCAGTCCACAATGGGAAACAGGTAGAATAGAGTTGGCCTGAAGCCACTCCATAGGTCCCGACTTTTTTGACTGACCAGTCACCATCAATTTGGGCAATCTGGTACTTCCAGTCCGTCGGTTCGATCTTTATTCGCTGGTGGGCCTTCGATCAGCCTCCAGGATCGACAAATGTGTGTCCTTGGAGGGGGCAGGGCTCCAACACAGTGGTCCATGTTGGGCCCGCAGCGCACCTCGTCAAGAAAGGCGGGAGGAAAGGGGTGGGACTTGGCTTTCTGGTTGATGGATGTTGATGGAATGAGGGACTGTCGCAACAGGGGATCACAGAGTCCCAGGATCTTCTTGCCCTGACTGGCCAGGGATGTCTTGACTCGCAGGGGAGGGGGTTTGCCGCCTCCATCACGGAGTGGTCTGGTGCGGAACCCAGTGGGGGACCATCAGTTCGTCCAGGAGGGAAAGCATGGCCGCTTGTGAGTGGACTGGCGTCTTTCTGTTCCCCTCCCTGACAGGTGTGGGGCCCTCCTAGCCAGTGGGCGCAGCCGGAGCTCGGCAAGGTTTCTTCCCGTGGGGGTCGGAGGTTAGCCCAGGTCCCCAACCGGGACAGCCGAAGAGGAGGTTCCGCAGGAGCACGGGTCGATCTCCATGGGCGCTGAGGCCCCATCAACGGCAGCCGCCGCAGGTGTAGAAGAGCTCGAGGTCACAGCAGCCGCAGCCTCACCCAGGGGCGTTTCACAGCCGGCGTCTGCACCCCCAGGAGGCTGCCAGGAGGGGAAGCCTGGAGCTGAGCCATGGCAGCATCCATCTCCTGCATCTTGGCCTGCCAAGCATCTTGCGTGAGCAGCTCACACTTGACGGAGTGCGAGTCTTCCTGGGCACCCGGGGCCGTTGGATCAGCCAATGCATCAGCAGCACGGCCTGCCCCTTCCAAAATCGTCTCCTCAAAGCGTCCAATCTCTTTCTCCCGTTCCTCCGCCTCACTTGGATCAAGAGTGAAAGAAGTCACCGAAGGGGCCTCATCCAAAAGGTCCCAGTCAAAAAGGGCAGATCCAGAGCCGGACATGGCTGCTCAGCAATGAAAGGGGGGATCACGGGAGTGCGTTTTTCACTTTGAGTACACAAGCTTGAGCGAAAATGGCACAGCATTTTGAAATGTATTCCTGAAACATAACCTTGCTTTCCATAGGTTCCAAGCACGTACTAAATATATGTGTATATAATCTGTATATATATATATATAAATATAATATTAATCCTTTCCACCTTGACACAGCCAGAACCGTATGTCAGCAAAAGGAAAAACGAGAGCGCTCTGCATCACAAAGCGCGTGCTTGAGCTCTTTAACTAGTCATGCGCGGATTCTTGTTGCGTTATTTGTACATGGCTACGGCTACGGCTCAAGGATGAGAGGACCCTTATTGTAGCATCAATGCTCAAAATGTGCCAATTTTTTGCACTCTGCATCATACAACCCTAGACCTGGAACGATTTGATCAGCTTCAATCAAGCGGCCCCAGCCATTGAAAGGTCTCCGGCACAGTTGGCAGCTCGTGCAGGCCGGTGTAAGCAGTCATAGCATTCCTGGCAAGCTTCTCCATGGAACAGGGCGTCCCAGCAGAATCTTAGTCTCACAGCATTCTCAGGATGTCAAACAAATCAAAAACTGGTACTGCACACTTAAGCATCTGTGGTATACACTTGTTTGATACATGGCGCAGTGTGGTGTCGCATCGCCGCACCGCTCCATATTTTGCCACAAGTTTGCTCAGTCTGGATTTCGAGGGAGTCGGGGGAGTTTTGGGCTGCAAGGCACTTGGAACTCACGGCATTCAACTCCCTGACTGTCGTGAGCTTCCTCCAAATTCGACAGGTGATCGAAACGTTTTACAACGTAAGATGGCAGTGATGCAAAGCGTTTACTTGCGTCATGCACAGGAGAGAAAGAGACCACATCACCTTCTTTCAATGTTTTTTCAACACCTTTTTCCATCCGTTCGTTGTTGATGTAGGTTCCATTGGTGGAGAAATCCGAAATACAAAGTCGGTAAGCCTGATCCATGAAAGCCAAGCGGAGTTCTGCATGATGCGTTGAAATGCAAGAGCTCTTTAGCTGCAAAGTGCTTTCTTTGGCACGACCAATGAGTAACTTGGGATGCCATGGGGCCAAACATAGTCGTGGCACAACATCGGATTTTGGGCTGGCTAAGCGTAGCTCAAAGACTGGTCCAGGGGCAGCATGTGGTGGTTTGCTCGGCAAAACAGCTTCATTAGCTTGGGAGGTATTTGGGGTGAGCTGGCTTTCAAGAAGCTTCTCGTAGCGCCCAAAGGCCAGCTTCAAAGGTGACAAGGAGTGAATGCGTCCGCACAAAGGGTTGCGCAAGCAGCGGAATGCAAGAACTTCGTAGAGTGCAGCTGCGGACTTTGGGGTTGTGAAGTGAATCAAAAGGGTCACATTTTCAGAATCTTCCGTCTGCCACGTCACTCGCACTTCATTGACTTCTCCAAAAGTCCTGGCAAAGTCATGCCAATGAGTTCCTGGAGTGCACACCATGCCGCGAGATGAAGGACGATTCGCGCCGGCAAAGAACCATGTACATGGCAATGAAACAGTCGCTGTGTTTGCCTCCAGAAGACGTGGGTTGACAGATGCGTGCAATCTTTGGAGATAGCTTTTTGAGGTAGTGTCGATGGTTTCTACCCAGCTAACTGTTGCGAACCTGGCCAATGCTTTGCCGAGCTTCCTCTTCTGGTACTTCTCAGCCAATGTAGGGATGTTTCTGCCCCTCAGACATATGGCGGCAGCCAACCTTCCAGGTGCCTCCTCCACGATCACTGGTTCGAAAGAACCCGCTTCCTCGGCCAGGTCTGCTGCCAATTCTTTGCGCAAAGCATGGCAGGCTCGGCGGGTGGTATAGCCATGCACTCGGAGGCGGAATTTGGCCCAAACCACAGCAAGAACTTCTACGGCTTTTGCATCCCTCCATTTTCCCACCCGACCCTCCCAGCTCAACAGTGGGCGAGGCTTGCGAGTGCGCCGGGCTGGTGACGGAAGCTCTTGAGGTGGCATATCGGAAACAAAGGTAAAAGTTTGTGGTGCTTGTCAGAGTATCTGAAGATTCTCCACAACTTCTGAACCTGGTATTCATGCTCGCATGCCTCCAGTGCAAAGCTGCCTCACATACTCCCTTTGGAAGCCAAAACGCTGCAAAATGAACGCTTGTCAACACCAAAGATCCCATACAAAGGACACGTAAATTATTGAATTGCAAGAATGCCACATGAACCTCTTGTGCAAAAGCATTCTGAAAGGATCTGACACTTTCAATCATTTTCATGAGCAGTTTGCTGCCCTGAATGGTCCTTGTGTGAAATGCAGCCGCGCGGCCCCTCTGCGCTTAAGCCAGGCCTTCCTTTCAACTAAAGCCCCGTAATATTGATGCATCGCCAAATTCTACATCAAACCAGTCAAAAAGCGCCTGGGTGTTCAGCAAGTAGGTCGGTTGCTGGGATTGAAATAAACAACGGAGGCAAAGCATCCATTCCAGATTAGGCAGAATTTGTTGCTCCTAGCACTTGTGAACTGACCACCTCAACAAACTAATGTCAAGATATGTCAAGTTCCGACATGATCTGGCCTGCAACCTCACAACCGTGACCAAGCAACCAGCAGCTCATGCACAGGATGAGAAAAACGCAGATTACAGCCAATTCAAGCCATGCTTACCGGGATTTGCTTGAGAAAGTGCTACCTCTTTCGTCTGCCGTGCTCTCGCTCTCTCAACCTCTCATGTGAGTTTGCACGAGAGGACGTGACAACACAGTAATCAGCCCGGTGTCTTGCAGACTTTGGCTCACCGAAGCTGTGCCCTACTAACTCTTCCGTAACAGCACCCCCCGAGAAACTTGCGCAAACAATTGACACAGGCACAGTCAGGCACAGCCTCAGGGGCAATCGGCTCAAAGCCCAACTGCAGCCACTCCCGAAACCCTTCCAACATCGGTCTGGTCTTTATATATATATATATAATAATAACGAACTTCTTGGAGTTGAAGCAAGATTTCGAGTTGCTTCCTCAATGTCCTCACCTCCTAAACGTCTGAGGTCCCGCTTGCTTTGCAAGCGGGCAGGAAAAACATAGCATCACCAACGCTGCCCCTCAGGGTCAACTCCTGGCTCACAGAATCTCATAGATGGTATAGTTTTGCTGTCTTGTTCCACCTTGTTCCCTCAGGGCACTGCGCACAGCTCATCAAAGCCAAAGGCAGGGAACATGTTGAAAAATCATGCGTAGTCAATCCGATCGTGTGGCGGTCCACCATGCTGAGTTTCCAGCACCCTACATGTATATACCTATAGATGATGTCTTGATATGTCTTGCACTAATAATCTAATAAACTAAGCTTGTTCTCTTACACCCCCGCAGCTACGTTGCTTTCTCCTGCTGACTGATTGCCATGCGAAGCAATGATCTGCAGGGTAGCTAGGCCAGCTAGGCATGACCTAGTGTCTCCCAGTACCCAACGACGCACGGAGCTGGCCAGAATTGCCTGTCCTGGTCTTGCCAGGGCCCCCGTTACTCCTTGAGCAATGGATGTCACCCACCGCAGAATGGAGCAAAATCATGGGCAGTGATTATGTGGTGCCAAAGGCTTGGGCTTCAATGCGCACATCCTGGAACACAAATATGGACCGACAGAGGGCGCCTTACTTCAAATATCTTCAAATCTTATCAGGCTCCCTACACCGTGCCAAACACATCCAAACACAAGGTTTTTCAAGTCGCAACAGTCTCGACAAATCGTTCAATGATATCAACATATTGCATCACCATTCAGCACTCGTTGTTGGAAACACTCTCGGTTGGGACACAACCCCCATAACCTGTTCTGAAAGCCATGAAGTTGACAGCACGGGGCCCCGATGATCTCATCATCACCGTGTCGAACTCTGCAAAGGTAGGGGGGGCCAGTTCATACATTTCTCCTTTTTGTATCTTTTTGTATGCCGGTGGGCAGCCCTACTCCAAATTGTATGAAACCATGGGGTCGAACAATTCGTGGTAAATCATGGAAAACTCTCGAAAATGACTATCTTGATAATGTCGGAAGCAAAAGGGGGAAAACCGCACTGAAAAGAATTCCTTTTTCAGGGAATGATGGAAATGTGCCATGAAAGGGGTCCATAATCATCATATTAGTCAAGTTTCAACTTCCAAGCAAAACACAAGATGGAACCAATGGAAAACCACGAGTCCGAGTGCGCACACGCATTTGAAAACAAACTGCCCAACATGGTCAAACATTGTTTAACACTCTTGTGGGGCAATTTTGCGGGACATGCCAAGTCTCGAAAACGAGCGTTTCGTACGAGACACCGTGGAATCAAGCGTCAACTCTCCAAAGCGAGCGTTGCATACGAGGCTTCCTCCATAAGTCACGCGTCAAAGTCTCCAAGACAGGCGTTTCGTGCGAAATTTCCTCCACAAGTGAAGCGGGAAGCGGGTGAATCACATCAAGTAGCCCTGCCCAGCAGTTTCGCAACCCCAGCCCCTCAAAGCCACAGCCACGGACACACCAACCCCAATGCTCGGCGACGTTCACCTTCAAACGTTGCAACCTCACGAAACTCGATTTCGACACCTCCCACATAAAGTATCACAAAGTGCTGCGCCTGCCACGAAAAGCGGCGACATGACATGACATCTTCATGTCTTTGCACCGCACCAAACGATTGTCATGACTTCAACACTCTCTGAGCACACTCACACCCACCAAAGCCACCATTCTATCTGAGCTTCGAGGCAACGGCCTGAAACGCAAATCCCACTGTCACAGGACATCTAACACCTCCAACAAACCACCCTGCGAACGCCAATCATCGCCAATCCCACTGTCACAGCGAAGGACGCTGCACCTGCATGTTACGTGTTTGAAAACCTCCAAAAGTTTCCCCCACTGTCACAGTCTTACCGATCACATTCGGCCGCTCGCGGACGGTTGCGAACATGAAAGCGACATCACGCGAACACTGCTCTACCCTCAGACTATCTCAGACTCCCAAAGTTAAACGAGAACCCTTTGCTGCGCATTCACTTCCCCGGGAATGACCTCTGGAGACAGGGAAATGTACATCGATAGGAGGGGCACCCCTCTTGAATATAGATTTATGTGACCCACTGAATCCCGGAGACATCACATCTTCAAAAGAAGGCTTGTATGTTCAACATCGTCCCTCCCAAAAATCAAAACGATGAGTGAAACCTCATGTTGTCCAATATGCAGTGATAGCCTTCAGGACCAAAAAGAAGCCACAGCATGTTCCGGAATCACTTTGGCTAATTTGTAATCTAGTTCAAGACCTGAAATCGATGCCTTGATTTGGAAACGGAGCTTTGCTTGGATGATGTGACTGAAGCTCCCTTGGCCGCATCCGGCCAAAACGGAATTGTTGGAGCTCAACATTTGCCAAAATGCTGTGCCAACATGCCAGATCGATTTTGATATCTAGAGTCTTCAGGGGTTCACAAACAATCTGCAATTGGGAGCCCCATTGAATCTGTATATGTACAAATTGGGATTGACGCCAACAAACAGTGCAAGCTGAAGTTCCACATTTGCTATGAGAGGAAGCGATCACTAGACCTTGCTTGAGCACCTGTGCCCCTCATCAAAGCATATCCCAGCATTGCAAACAACAAGGTGCCGAGGCCCTGGCAGAGCTGATAACCCTGTCTGACCTCAGCTCACGCGGAGCTGATTGCTTGTCGGACTGCGTCCCACTTCCTAGAACCTCCTAACGAACTTCAGTGTCCCAGCGGCGCTTGTCTTGCTGGGGAAGGTTTTGAGCGTCTTGAGTTGCGCCATCTTCATTTCTGTGAGCGGTGCTCGGGGCTAGAGTTCATTGAAGGTGTTGTTGATAAGCTATGATAAGCTCACCTTTTCCACCATGGAACTGGATGAGCCTGTCGGCCTTCTGCCCATGTTGTTTGCCCACTTCGGTGAACCTGAGATGATCTGAGCACTTGGACGCTCTGCCGCTGGCTTTTGGGGATGCATCTTTGGCCTTCGACGGCACAAGGACATACAGTAACGCAATGGAGAAGTTGCAAACTGAACGAGGCACATGTTCAGGTAAAGTGAATGCCGAAGCAAGTGAAGCTTTTGAGTCCGCCGGGAGCTTCCATACATTCCACTTAGGTGGGGTGCCTTCAGCAAATGCAAACTTATATATATATATATGGCCCAGCTGCTTCAAGCAATGCAGTCTCAACCAAGCTTACGGCACGAGTGCTGAGGCGAGCCTTCCAAAGGCGCAAACGCGAACCTGTTTAAGTTTCTTCCTACACAAGCTCACCACCAGCAGCACCCAGAGAATCCCGCTTCTGGTTTCAGTCGCTGCGGTGTCACTTGTGATGCGACAGGCGGAATCACATGCAAACAATAGCAAAGCCATTCAGGATTCAGGGGCACACTGTAGCATCCAATTTATTTATTTATCCAAGAAACTGCTGCATGACAGTGGTGAGAGCATCATTGACAGAAGTGAAATTGCGTATGAAGAAGGTTTTTCCCATGTCTAACTCGTAACGAACGACTCAGCTTCGGTTTGTGGCTCCTTGTCCGCATGCTCATTCGCTGCTTTAAATGGCCTGGGGTTGCGATGCGCATGATGCGCCACTGCTGGCACTTTCAACTACCGAGTTCAAAAGGCATGTTTGGTTACTGCTGCTAATCAAATTTGAAGGCACCTCACTCTGCAACGTTCTCCAAAAATGGCTATGGGTCAATATCGGGGGGACCTTGGTTGACCATAGAAAATGTACCAGGGTTTAGGGCTCCGGGTTGTGACCCACAGCCAAATCTTAGCAGAATCAACTCAGCATCAATATGCATCAATCTAGCAACTTTAGGACTTTAATTTGAGTGACTCAATCTCCTGACAGTTGCTCTGTGTACCCTGGCATGCCCATGATGTCCGGCTCTGGCCGCACACCGTGGACATAGCCTGCATAGCCTGGCCTTGGTTGGAACAAGGGTTTCACCTTTGAACGAAACACGCGCAGGCTACACATGCGCGGTACAGGGCCAGCGAGCCTTTCTCCTGTCTGCTCCTCAAGCTCGATTGCTGTGCAAGAGTTAATTCATGTTCGTTCTTCATGTCACGTGCTGTTGTCCTGTTATGTTGTCTGGCTCCTTTGCCGTGGCCCGTGCTGCTCATTGACTGTCTCAGCTCTTTGACAAAGCATGGGCATAAATAGACACGGAATTCTGGTGCATCTTCAGGCGGTTACAACCAAACGACTCTGTGAAAAAGCTGTGGGGG